TTTCAGTGCTGCTTTAATTTGAACTTCTCATAGGGTTATTTTGTTAACAGCCAAACCATTGTGTCCAGCCATCTGGCTTTCATGCACCCGTCTTCCCCTTGTATATTCCAATCATTTCTTGACTTCCTGTTTCATGGCAAAAATAGTTGCCATTGCAGCTGAGCTGGCAAACTGTAAGCTGCACTTGACCAGCAAACCAGAACTGTAAACTCTGAACAAACCATGGTTTCCAGTTCTGGTTTAGAGAGCACATACAAACTGTATTTGGCTGGTTCTGATATAGGGCAAACGACATTTTGCCATGCAAGGGAGGAAGGGAGGAAGGAAAGCACGAGTCAGAGGCTCATGTGAATCAAGCCATTCTAACCAGCACATAAGGTGTGTTCTGTTGCCATGATCTCTTGTAGGGTTCTAGGTTTGGAAATGATACCCATAATCTCTTAAAAGGAAGAGTAAGAGATAATACTGTTAAAAATGTTAACCTTGTCACCAACTATGGTAGTCATCATAGGGTAGATTCAGACAACTGGAAATCCCCAGTAGTACCCTTTGAAGCAATTGTCTGTCCACATGATTAGCCCCACTATTATCACCTCTGTTTTCTTCAGACTGGAGAGTAGAGATGATAAAGTTGGCTTTGACTGCCTAATCAGCAGGTGTGGGAAATCTCAGTGGTTAGCCTTGACATGCCCCCTGTGGCCTTTCTGAGCACCAGTTCCCAATGTGGCACCTGCTCTGTGTTCCAGGAAAGCGGGCGAGGGCATTACCCTGAGGGGCTTGTGGTTGATAGGTGGTTCCCACCCTGAAACAGCCACTGCCAGAGGGCCTGGAGGCTAGGTAAACTATGAGCTTCCCTGAGCAGGCCTTGTGCCAAAGACAGAAGGACCTCTTCTCTCCAGCAGCCCTTCCCTTTCTCCACTACCTCTGTGCTCTAATTCTAGCACCTGAGTGGCTGCTGGGAGGAGAGTAGGTTGACAACAGAGAAGAGAGAACAAAACCTTGGCACCTCCACCAGGAAAAGAGCAAGCTGGCCACAGTGGGGTGTTGGAGGCTTTACTTCCCTTACTCCATGGCCACTTTGCTCTCCCGTCTGTACCTTAGCAGTCTCACTCCCTCTTGTCTGAAACAACGTGCCTCATGTGGGAGAGAGTGAGAAGGCAGAGAGGGATGTAAAAGGGCATACAGAATTTCTCCAGAGAGAGGTTTCACAAGGCTGTTGGCTGGCTCACACTGTGCTTCTGCCGTGGGAAGCCTGCACTTCCTTTATTTCCCTCTCCTGTCTTCTTGCTCTGTCCTCCGGAAGTTGGCAGAGCAGGCTCCTGTAGCTGTTGGCCAAACACAAGTAAACAGGCTCTGCAGAGAAAGACAGGCATTTTGCCCTTCCTTAACCATCAGAGCCTGGTGAGTGTTTAGCTGGCTAGTAGTGCTGTTGAGATTTGGATTTCTTCTACTCACTCCCTGCAATTTGTAAGGTGGATTTATTTAGTTTTTGAGTCCTATGAGTTTTCCGTCTTAAGAGTAAGTGCCATGAAGCAAAGTGGGAATCACTTTTGAGTAAATATGCATAGGATGACACTGTTAGCATTTTCATGATCTGTGGATTTGGGAACCTTTGAATTTGGTGGTTTGAGGCCCCAGCACCAAGGGGAGGGGTGAGGCGGGGCCAAAGGCAAAGAGGCCCTCCATATCCGACCACATGTTAATCCCATTTACATTTCAGTTGAAATAATACACCCACACTCAAAGTTTCAGAGAAATGTGGAATAAAATTGGCCACAACTTTATTGGTTACAGCTGTAGTCTGCTTTGGCACAGCATGGGATACCGGTTCCAATTCATTGACTGACCCGCCTGCCAGTGGATGATCCACTGGTAACCTTGGGGTGACAGGTCTCTGGATCCCACAAGGGCAGACGCCCCAAGGTGGTCTCCCCTGCCACCTGAGCGTGAGGGTAATCCCCGGGCATGCCCCCAGACTGGGCATACCACTTGACGGTCACATCAAGATCCCTTATGAGGATCCCCAACTCAGGAAAAGGGGCACGCAGGCCGGCTTTCCTTATAATGGAACCGGCCTCATGCTGATACTGCCAAGTTGTGACAAGGAAAATTAATGGAACAAGCCCACATGCAAACCCCTTTAAATGATGCCATACTAAAGGGCCAGGAGGGTGGGCCAAGTTGCTCAACGCTGAAAAGATGGCGAGAAGGGCAGTGCTGTGCCTTCAGTAACAAGCAGTGCACCCCCAACCACCCCAAGACCCTCTGATAGGGCCAGCATCGGGTCATGCGGGCACAAGCTTCCTGCGCTTGCTGCTGGCCCGCCCCCTCTGCCTGGCAAGGATTGCCTCTCTGCCCCTCCCTCCTTCCTCCCTGCGGGGTGGCAAGCAGGGCCCCGGGTGATTCAGGGCCCCGGCTTCTCGAGCCACCTGACTCTGTCCTGGGTGACGAAAAGGGAAGAAGGTAGGAGAAGATAGGATCATTTCATTGTTAATGTGGGCTCAAGATAAAGCTAACAGTTTTATTTTTACAACACAACTTCTCCATCATGATGATGTCAAAGTTGTGGAGATACAGGTGTTCCATGTATGAGGCTGGATCAACATATGCAGCTGAATGAGATGATGGAATGGGGCATACTGCTATTGAATGCTAACCCATAAAATGAAACTTCTTAAAAGCAGAAAACTTAGCTTAGAGAGAGATTCTAACCACCACATCTCCAGCAGTGCTGGAGTTCAACTTGAAGGGAGCTATTAACATAAACAAGCATTTTTTAAAAATATTCAGCCTAATAGAGTTCTGGAGAACTTGAAAGCTTACACATTGTTTTGTGTCATAAGTCCAACATGCAAGCCCTTCCCCTCGCTTCAGATACATGAGAGCTGGCTAAGGTTCAACTCGGGTAGGGAGAGACAAAAAAAACGTTATAGCTATAATTATATATTTAAGATTAATAGTTGTATTATTGTGTGTATGCGTGTTGGTGTGGAGAGGTACAACGGGCATATAGTAGTCATATGCTTTTCTGGTTGAGAGTAATTGTGAACATGGGTCTCACCAAGCTGCGGAGAGTACCACTGCAATAAACTGTCCTCAGTCTGTTTCTGGAAACTATAAGTAAGCCGTATAGTTGTGCTTTGGGATATCTCTTTCAGTCTGGGTGTGCTGGGGGGATTTTTATTTTATTTATTTTTATATATGTATGTAATCTCAGCTGGCCAAGTTCATGAGAATATGTTCAGTTTTGAGATACATGGCCTTATTCCAGGTTGTAAGCCATTATCATCTACAGCTTTGAGTTGTGGGATAGCAACAGGGGAGAATCAAAACAAATGGAACTTGGGAAAAAATCTCCAGTTTATTTTCCAAATAGAAGAGGTCTACTAAACCGGTGAGAGAGCTGTGCCATATCAGTTTCCTCAAACCAGATTAAGCTGGCTCGTTTTCTTGTCTCTGAATTTCTGCACTGCTTCTAGAGAGAGTGCAAGTTTCAACACCGCTTGATACTTCCTGACTGCCCCCTCTATATAGTGAAAGTTAACAGCCATGGTGTGCATGTTGAGTTTTGAATTTACTGCATTTAGTAAGGCTTATTCTCAAGTGTGTCTAGGATTGCAGACTTCATGTTTTTGGAAATACTACCTGACTCCCCAAAGTTACTACTAAGTACAAACTTCCATTAAGCTGGTTAAATGTTTCTTGTACCACCAGCACTAGCAACTGAAAGTGCTGACTCCTGAGTATGGTAGGATTCACACAGTTATGGTAAATAGTGTTACTTGGAATCATTTCCTGATATCTGGCTTCAAGGCAAGCATAGATGTATTTGCTGTATTCGAAGGTCACAGAATTCACATGGTGTTCATATGTTTGTCTTACTGAAACTACTTTGTAAAACTGCTTTTTTAAATGTCGTGCTAATTTTTACTGGTGTTCTACTAGTGATGACATCAGTAATATATTTATAGAGTTCTTGGATGTGATGAATTAGAATCTGATATGAACCTTAGTACTTTCAAGCTCTTTGCTCTGACCTGTATCCATCAGCACCCCTTCTTCCCCCCCCCATCATTATTACTCATGTATGCTGTAACTGCAGATGACAGAAAACAGACATTCAGCGGAAACTCTGGTGTCTCCTTCACAGTACAACCTCAGGAACCCAGCATTCATTCTTCCTCACCAACAAATGACCAAAATTATTCAAGAAGTGGTGTTGCTTTCTTGCATTAAGTGCAGTTTCTGTGTAAAATAGCTATGCTCCATTACAGGGCACATTAGTGAGTGAGTGCTGGCTATGCAGCTTCAGGCAGTTTTGAAAGATGTGGATTTTTAGGCCCCTTTCAAGCAATATTCAAACCCGGGTTTGAGAAAGAAACAGCCTTGGTTGCCCTGACATATCCTCTTTGCTGGGGGAATGCACTCCTTTTTTACCTCTGTTTCCCCCCCTTCCTCCGGACCTTCATATCTCTAGTCTGAGTACACATAGTTAAAACTGGGCTAATTTTCTAGATAATAAACCTATGTGAGAAAGAATTTTTATATTTTCTGACTGAGAGATTTGCACTATCCATTCTTTCCGTGACTGGCAGAAATGATAAAGTGCGTAGTAATAAAGCTGAACCTGTCCACAAGAACTAAATGCTGGACTGTGTCAGATTTCTACATACATCTTTATATTGATTTATTATATTAGCCAAGCTAGTCAGTTTATAGGAAAATCTTTGAAAATCTTTTTTTCTTAATGTAGTTGTGGTAATATAAAGGTCAGTTTGGAACCTGCTTTGTTAGCATTGTGTCATTTTTGTTCCATTTTCTACTATGCTACAACATATATATGACTATCCACAAAACTGATATGAAGCATCTGTTAACTCTGGATAAAATATTAAGTTTAACATTCTTAGACTTCTGTAAGAAAATGAGAGGAGCACATGAATATCCATATTGGGGAATAACCTCAAAATTGAACTAACATCTAACTCTGTAATTTCCAGGTATGCTCTTCTGTGCGGTCAGTACTCTGAACATGAAAGTATACAAAAACGCATTCAAGCTGGGCATGTGTTCAAGGTATGTAGGATTGCTTATCATATAACTAGCTTTGAACTGGCCCAAATAACGTGGATTGAAAAAACCCTACAAAATGGAGCCAGGTATGCATGGGGGATTTCTCTACAAACCTGAAGGCAGCTCCGGGTTTGCAGAAAAATCTGAAATCTACAAATATTTCATTGGGGGATTGAAACCCTCCAAAATAATAGAAATAACATCTGTAGCATTGAAAAAATAATGGACACTGAGCCCTGCATGACTATGTGACCATACTGGGGGTTGCTTTTGCAACCCCAACAATATTGCCCACCCTCCAAGCCTGGGTAAAGTGAAGTCATGGGGGAGGAGCAGGGATGGACTGGGAAGCCAAAACAGTAGAAAAAGGTCCTCCTGCCCCACATTTCCCCTGATGGAGGAGAACTCACTGGGGCCAGGCCAAATGGTGACCACACCAGTGACTCTGTACCCACATGACGTGGCTGCACCTGGTGACTCACTGCTCATGCAGCTTGGCTACACTTTTCCCAGGGAGAGGCTGCCAGGGGGAGAGAAAACTGTAGAGTAGGGAGTAGATAAAGGTAGGTTGGTTTATTGATGGGTGGGAAGGACAGAAGGAAGCAGGAAAAGGGGCAAGATATGGGGGTTGCCAAGGGAGAGAAAGAGGATATGAGGGGAAATACATGGGGCAATGATGTGACCCTTTCCCTGTAAGTCTTTGTGGGTCTCATGTTTGAACTTGAGTATTTTAAAATGTTGCTATTGCAAAGGAGAAAGAAAGGACACTCTGTAGATTTTGCTGAAAATTTACAAGCATTGTAAAAAGGTAAAGGTTTCCCTTGCTCGAAAGCCAGTTGAATCCGACTCTAGGGTTGCGGTGCTCATCTCCGTTTCAAAGCCGAAGAGCCAGCGCTGTCCGAAGACATTTCCGTGGTCATTTGGCCGGGATGACTAAACACCAAGGCACACAGAACGCTGTTACCATCCCACTGAAGTGGTACCTATTTATCTACTTGCAATTTCTTGCTTTCAAACTGCTAGGTTGGCAGGAGCTGGAACTAGAGACGGGAGCTCACTCCGTCATGCGGCACACTCAGGTCTCAAACTGCTGAACTACCGACCTTCCACAGCCTGCAGTTCTGCGTCTTAACCACTTGAGCCACCGCAGCTCCTTGTACAAGCATTGTTGGAAGTGTAGGAAGGAAGTGTAAGGCTGAGATAACACAATATGTTTTTTAAAAGTCAGGTTGGAATCCAGTTTGGGACCACAGCATTGGGGGAGGAGGGGCCTTCTTTGTGCAATTTTCTGGAGCCAAGCTGGCTTTAGAAAGGCCCTGTTTGGTCAGCTGCAGGGCTCCATGTGTAGTATTCAAGGCATATGGAATCCAACAGTGGGGCAAACAGGGTCATTTCAGTTTGGGAATATGGTGCAGGGAGGAAAGCTTGAATCCCTTCCTCTCTCTTGTGTCAAGGTTCTGAGCTGAATTGGACCGCAGTATGTTTGGGAATTTTGGTTCCCCAATATTGGGTTGAGGGAACCCCAACCAGACTTGTGCCTGATGTAATGTTTAATTTGGACTTTAGCTGTTGTCTTCCACTTCTCTGTGAACTTGTTCACACACAGAGTTGTGTGGGCGCTGGTTGCCCACCACGTGAATTAGCACCCTGGCTATTGTTTATTTGTGTAACCAAGCAACTACGTGGGCTGGGCCCATTTCACGGGACTTCTTCAACTGACCCACACAGTTGATGCCTTCCATGCGGTTACTGGTTTACATTCACTGTCCAGTGATATGGGATCACACAGTGAAAAGCAGCTCAGTGAACGTATGCATGTGATGCAACTTGTGAGCATAAAAGGAAAATTTCTTCCTTACACCTTATAAGATCTTTTAAAATACAACTTGACATTAGCAGAGTAATGAAAAGGGGGCAATACCCTGTAGGGTAGATTATGGTATTGGCAGGGATTGTATTATCAGCCTTCAGTTAAGTTTTTATTTAGGTAAGTAAGAATCTTACCAATGAGACTCAGCATTATACCAGTGAATGGTATAATGCCTCAAAACGGCACCCTTCTGCTTTACAAATTTTATGTGCTTAATGAGTTTAGCCTCTTTGCTGTATATCTCTTTAGAAACATGTAGACCAAGCAATTGCACTGAAACCAGATGACCCCAAATCTTTCTATCTCCTGGGCCGATGGTGCTACCAGGTAAATGATTTGCTTTTTTTATATCTGCTGTCCACAAGACATCATACAAATTTTGTTGTCTAGATGGGAAATAATGTGCCGGTTCAATGCCTTAAAGTTCAGTGCATTATTAATTATCTGGATTCCTTAATGCAAAATTTAGCTATTGAGAAAGCGTTTATTGCATTGGTTCAGAGATTCTCTGTATTCTGTCATGCGTTTGCCTATGTACAAATGGATGCAATTAATGTTTGCAATGCCACTAAATCCTCTTGTGCCATATTCGTCAAGATTTAAAAGACTAAATCTATCACTCTTCTTCCTCCTATTCTTCTGTTGTGCCAACTGATTAAGTAAATTCACCATTCATATGTGACAAGTTGGACTTATGAGTTAAGAACATAATACATTAGGGCCCCGGTCACACGGGCAGGAAACTGCGGGGGAGAAGCGTGGCTGTTTGCCCTGGGGCAAACTACTGCGCAGTTACTCGATCAGACCTCCCGTGGATGTCCTGTGGAGGTACCGTGGAGGTTCCATGGCAAGGGAGAGGTGCTGATCACAGGACAAGCTGGCGCGCAACGAAGAAGCGCGCGCCGCGGCAAACTGTTTTGTTTTTGTGTGTACACGACGAATGCGCTTGCTCCGTTGGGTGCGTGTGCGCATCCACAGAGATGTGGACAAAAATACCCCATCTTATTTGCAAGGGGACATGGGCGGGCGCCGGATGCCACCAGAAACGCGATCAGACGCCCGCCCTTGCCCCGCAGTTTCCGGAAACTAGTACCTCCGAGGTACTAGTTTTTTGCCACGCAGTTTCGGCTGGAAGCCTCGGTTGTGCCATGGGAGTGCTACGCTTCCCAGATGTGCTGGTGAGATCGCGCCCGGAAACTCCGCCTGTTTTCCATCTCACTTGTGTGGCTTCTGTTCCGTGTGACCGCAGCCTGAGATCTTTAAACCATGCAATGGAACACTATATAGAAGTACGGTACACTGTTGCCTGTGATGTTTTCCCCACATTTGGCAATGGAGACTGACAGCATTTAGTGGTCCAAAAACATCTGTACCATCCCAGAATTTAAAGCCCTGCAAATTACTTTAAGCAGTATTTAGTAAGTGACAAAACAAGGCTTCCTCAGTAATGTGTGATGATCAGTTTTAAAGAAGCTAATTTTAGGTGGTCAGTGCACATGCTTTACTATGTGTTGTCAGGAAAAACCTGAACTAACAAGCGAAATAGCCATCTGTACTAATGGGCTTGTCCCCCAGATTTCTTCTAAGATAAATTTTGTTCTATATGCCAAATACTTCAAGATGAGATTCTGATATAGGTGGTGATTGCAGAGATTTATAGCATCTGCTGCTGTCTGTCTTGAATGCTGCCTTGATGTGTGGTGTTTGCAGGGTGCAAATGTTCTCTAAGATATTGCCTGTGTTATGATTAGAGAAAGATTGTTTGCTTCAATTACCCAAAATGTGTGCATCTTTTGTTTTGTAAATATATGGTATATTAAGAACCATAATTTACAAATTAAGCATTCTTTTTTGCACTACACTAGCTAGAATTGTAAAGCCTATAACTTGTTATTTAAATATAACTTTTTTTGCATCAGTAGATATTTTTAAATTATTTGCTGTCCCTCTACTATGTGTGCCCAAGTGCACCCATGTGCATGCTGGATTTGTAGCGTGCTGTTTATAAAATATACAGCTGAAAGGAGTTCTTCCAAGCTGTGAGAGAGCGCCAAGATCCTAGGTAGATCTGAGCTCCTGATTTAATGGTTTGGTCATTATGCAGGGCAAGGGAAATGGGCGCAGAGGGATCATGAAAGAAAAGAGCCAGTTGCAGGCTAACTCATGCTTTCCCTTTTGCCATGTTACTACTGTAATAAAAACAGTTGTTCTCTGTTCTTTAGAACACATGGATGTGATTTAAGGATATTTTGGAGCACCCCAGGGCTCCTGCTTGTGATGACTTAGTATAATCCCTTGCATGTGTTTTTCCTCTGCTTTTCATTCACAAACTGTTGCAGGTATTAGGAGAGGCTTGCCATGTGTGTTATATTTCTTAACTGGGTAAACATTCAAAGCCAATGCTATCGTTCTCAGTTTTGAGCATCTATAAAATACAAACGTTTTGGTATGCACTTTTGCTTTTCTTTGATGGAAAGAAACTGTTCTAATAAAATGAAGCCTTTCTCATGCCTGAAGATTAGATTGTAAAAAGGAAGAATAGAATCCAGAGATAAACCGTCAAAAACTGTAATAAATTAAATAAAACACATTTATAACCTAACATTGTCACCTTTTACACTCATAAACATACGTAAATATAACATCCAAACGTGGATGGAAAGGTTGTAAGGGATTAGGCAGCTTTGGCTCCATATATTAGACAGGATGTTATGGTTCCAACACTAAACCAGATTTGAAGAAGTTTTTGAAACAAGGCTTACCTGGGACATGAGTCTCATTGATGATATTTGTACTGAGGTCCAGCTCCTAATCAAGTTGTTTTGGAAGCCTTTTTCAACATTATATAATGGACACAGTCTTTAATTATTTGCTTTTGTAACTTATAGTTTACGCTTATTGTACAAATCGCTTAGTGCCTGTGAGCACAAGAAAAATAGCATTTGCGAAAATTATTATGTGCCTGCGAGCACCTTGTTGCTTTAAATTTCATTGAGCGCCTGCGTGCACTAATTTGTGTGTCTTAGCTGTTAATGCCGGTGTTTGGATGTTATATATACATATGTTTATAAGTGTAAAAGGTGACAATGTTAGGCTATAAATATAAGTGTTTCTTAAATTTATTATAGTTTGTGACAGTTTATCTTGGCGTTCTATCCTGCCTTTTTGCTTTATATATGCTGGGAGTCTTTCTCCTCTTGTTTGAAGATTAGGTTGTGGCATTCACCCTGATGCTTCATGTATACACAGGTACCTGAGTTAAATATGCATACAGATGGAATACTGTGTTGGAAGTAAACAAGCCAAACTGTTTAAGACCACCTCTTTACATGAAAGCTAAGGCTGCTTTGTAACTTGAAGGATGACAGCCTTGTTTTATTACAGCCAATGATGGTAGCTCCTAAGGCTTATTTAGAAAGCTAGTTCCAACCACTCAAGCCTTATGTTTTCAAATACTGATATTTAAGTTAACAGTTATTTGGGATCAAAAGTTACTCTTCATGCGCTGGGCATTCATAAAAGGAGCATTATACCATCTAATACCCTCTCTTTTCTGAGGAGAAAAAAATCCTGCAGAACAGACTTCCACGTGGAACTCCTGCTTCACACATTACCTTAAGTTCATGGTGCCTGCTTCTCTACGACCTAAGGAGAAGTGCTGGGCAATTAAATGGGGGTCATCAGGTACAGGTTGCTGAATTTTAGTAGTTTTTATATCACTGTTCTTATGCAGGTCTCTCACTTGGGATGGTTAGAAAGAAAAACTGTTTCTGCTTTGTATGAAGAGCCTCCTTCAGCTACTGTCCAAGATGCACTGCAGAATTTCTTAAAGGTATTGCCACCTTTTGCTGTTTCCACCCCAGTGACAACTGTGCTCTTTTAACAAGGGCCTACTTTTGGTTCCAACCTGCAAGCTTTTCAAAAGCTCATTTTGAAAATGTGAGACATCTGTGGTGGTTTTGTGTTCCTGAACAGGCTCAGAGCAAACCTTTGGGAGCCAGTTTAGTGTAGTGGTTAAGTGCGCGGACTCTAATCTGGGAAAACCGAGTTTGATTCCCCACTCCTCCACTTGCAGCTGCTGGATGACCTTGGGCAAGCCATAGTTCTGTGAGAGCTGTCCCTGAAAGGGCAGTGTGACGACCCCTTTACTAGGGAGGTCTGGTTTTACTTTAAAGTGTCCCTTTTAGTTTATTTTTCTTTGGGTATCCGGCTGCCACCAGGAATTTTTAGGCTTTCCAACCTCTTGCTATAATATATATTTCTATCACTGGGTAGGTGTACCATGGGTCTAGGCATTCATGAAGGTCTATGTGGTCTGAGGAAGGATTATTTGCTGAGCTGGTATACTTGAAGGAAATAGGATTTATTTAAAGAAAGCATCAACACGAGGGCAAACAATGTAAACAGAACTGGGAATGATTTGAACCATGGCTTGGTGTCTCTCACAAGCCTCTCTCCACTGACAGGGATATTTCATAGGCAACTTTGTAACACTTTTCACTGTACTTTTTCCTAGACTCTCAGCTTGTAATTTTCTCCTATAACACAGACTTAAATGTCACTCTTTTCACACACAGGGCTGAGTCTCCTTCAACTCAGAGACAGAACTTAACTGACTTCTGCTTCTCACAGAAATCTCAGGACCAACTCCTATCAACTGCTTTTACACAGAACTCTCTGCTGACAAACAAAACTGACTGTTTAACTGTCAAAACTCTAACAGTCACTCCTGATAGACATTCAAATCATCCACACAGCATCCATTCCAAAACCCCTCCCCCTCTCTGTCACTCACCAATCATCTCACTTGCCTGAGTCCAGCATTCTAGATCATCATCACACAGCAATATAAACCAAACTTTTAAAGACACACACACAAATAAACATGAAATCGTTACAGGCAGTATTTGAAAAGAGCTCTCTCAGCCCCACCCACCTCACAGGGTGTCTGTTGTGAGAAGGGAAAGGAGTTGCCAGGAAGAGCTAATTAGAATCAAGATACATAAGTAACTGATCGATAATGAGGACTTGGGGGGGAGGGGACACGTGCCGGAACAAAGTTCTAGAAAACTCTTCGACAAAATTCTTTTTAAAATGTTTAAAAGTTCATGAGTTTTCAGTATACAGACTGAAAACTTCATTTCCCTCTTGAGAGTTCCAGCAACTCTTTTTCAAAAAAAAAGAAAAGAAAAAGCCCTGGCAATAAGTATAGCTAAAACTAGATGAAAGCAGTTGGTAAGACCTGTGAATAGCAGCAAATTAGCATACTGATAATAAAGGAGTTAACAAACAGATGCAAGAACTGAGTGACTTAGCATGTTTTATGAGATAAGAAACCACTATCTCTCTTAAGCCCGGGGGTTCCATTGTCCTAAGTGTGGTAATAAGTTGTAATTTAGGAATCTCTCATTCTAGTCTGTTTCTGAAATTCCTTTGCAATGAAACAGCTACTTTGAGGTCCCCCACTGAGTGTCCTGGGAGGATAAAATGTTCTACAGGTTTCTCAATTTTGTGATTCTTGATATCAGATTTGTTCCATTTATCCTTTGGCATAGAGTTTGACTTGTTTGCCCTATGTAGAGAACTGAAGGGCATTGTTGGCATTTAATGGCATACACAATGTTAGAAGATGAGCAAGGGAATGAGCATGAGATGATGTAGGTGATGTTGTTAGGTCCAGTGATTGTGTTGTCTGGGTGTATGTGGCAGCAAAGTTGGCATCTGGGTTTATTTCAAGCTCTGGTACCAGTGCCCATGTTCAAATTAGATGTTGTATTATTGTGGGTGAGGGGCTGTTTTAAGATTGGGGGACTGTCTGTGGGCAAGAAAAGGTTTGCCCTGCAGTACTTATGAAAGAGGACTATCATAATTCAGTAGAGATTGTAAGCTGCTGATGATGCATTGAACTGTTTTGAGTGAGATGTATGTGACCACTACCGGTGTTCTGTTATTGTCTCTTTGGGCCTGTCTTGCAACAGGTTTTCTCGGTGTACCATTCTGGCTTTGTTAATCTATTTCTTGACTTCATCAGGTTTGTTGTAGATCCCTCAGGTGAAAATTTCTGTAGGATTGGAACAGACGTGGTTGTAGCATAGAGCCTGGCTGTATGCAATGGATTGTTTGGTATGTTTAGGATGGTAGTTGGAGGCATGTACATATGTTTGTTGGTCAGTAGGTTGCCAGTATAAGGTGGTGGTGGTGGTGGGGGGGTCTATGCATCCATTGTGTATGTTTACAGTAGTGTCCAGAAAATGTATTTCTTGCATAGATTGGTTCATTGTCAGGTTGATGGTGGGGTGAAAGTTGTTGAATGCCTGGTGGAATATGTCCAGGGCTTCTTACCATGTGTCCAGACAATAAAGATGTCATCAGTGTGTTACAGGTATAAGAGAGGTGTTAGTGAGTAGGAGTTTAGGAAGCATTGCTACAAGTTGGCCATAAAGATGTTAGTGTACTGTGGGGCATTGTGGGTGCATTTCAACCTTCCAGGACACTCAGTAGGGAACCTCAAAGTAGCTGTTTTATTGCAAAGGAATTTCAGAAACAGACTAGAACAGGAGATTGCTGAATTACAACTTCTTACAACACTCAGGACAATGGAACCCTCAGGGCTTAAAAGAGATATCAATTTCTCATCTCACTATACATGCTAAGTCACTCAGGTCTTGTATCTGTTAACTCTTTTATTTTCTGTATGTTAATCTGCTGCTATTCACAGGTCATACCAACTGCTTTAATCTAGTTTTAGCTATACTTATCACCCAGTTACTTATGCATCTTGACTCTAATTAGTCCTTCCTGGCAACTCATCCCCACCAACACCCTCCCTCTGCCTATATGTAATGGTTGGCAAAGTCTGTTTCAATTTATCTGAAGAAGTGTGCATGCACACGAAAGCTTAAACCCAGAACTTGACTTCATTGGTCTTAAAGGTACCATTGGGCTCAAATTTTGTTCTAAAGGAAAATAAGTGTCGCTGTAATTAGTTTTTTCATGCCACAATAGTCAATCTTGAAACATTCAAATGAAATCACACATTACATAGTCACATGATGAATACATTAGTTCTGTATATCAAGCTCCTAAGTTCTGTGATAGTTAGCTACAAAGGTTCAGACCACATTAAATCTGAAGAATCAAACAACTGGCATCATCAGATGCATGGAGTGATGACTATTTGCATATAGTTGCCTCTTATAATCCCATCACATAATAAAGGCCTAGGCACAGAAAGCAACAGTGAGTCATTCTGTGAGGTGATGCTGTTAGTTGGAACCTGGGAAACTGCCCTGAGAGAACTGAAGTGTTCTTGGAAACTAATTTTATTTTACATATCAGTTATTCTTTTTAAGTAAAAAAAGCAGAGTCCGCTAGAGCTCAGGTCTTATTACTGTTTTCTTTATAATACATTGCATCAAAATACTTTATTGCATCTCTCAAATGCATGCAGTCCAAATGCTAAGAATATATTGGATAATCCAGGCTCTGTCACCTTATCTGTTACAAATGTTTTGAAATATTAGGCAAGTCTCTCTCAGAAGAGCAGTGGTTTGTTTACGTGTGTGTGTGAGAGAGAGAGAGAGAGATTGAGATTGGATTTATACCCCGCCCTTCACTACCCAAAGGAGTCTCAGAGCGGCTTACAAACTCCTTTCCCTTCCCCTCCCCACAACAGACACCCTGTGAGGTAGGTGGGGCTGAGAGAGCTCTGACAGAAACTGCTCTTTTTCAAGAACAGCTGTGCCAGAACTATGGCTTGCCCAAGGTCATCCAGCCAGGTGCAAGTGGAGGAGTGGGGAATCAAACCCGGTTCTCCCAGATTAGAGTCCGCGCACTTAACCATTACACCAAACTGGCTCTCCACACCAAATTGGCTCTCCTAAATGCTAATTTAAATGTATGCAGCAAGCTTTTGCTTATAGCTTCTAATTTCCTAGATGTATTTGCTTACTTCTTGGTGTAGGTCAGATGCACTGATGGACTAGGAACAGGGCCATGGACTCACAGAAGTTACATATGAACATATTTGAAAGCCCTATCTTTTGAAATAATTTTGAATGTAGCAGAAATTCCTCTATGCTTAATAGGTCCCCCTTCTCCCCAATTTTCAGTTCACAAATAATGCTGTCATTTAGTTGCTGTAGATTTTCCGGGATGTGTGGCCGTGGTCTTGGCATTGTAGAACCTGACGTTTCGCCAGTAACTGTGACTGGCATCCTCAGAAGTATAAACACAGAAAGATGGAGTACTCTGTGTCAAGGTGAGAAGAAAATGGTAGGCAGTAAATTTATATCTACTCCAGAAGGTGGGTAGGGCTGAGTCATTGTCTTGTAGGAGTAAACAGTTAAAACTACAAGACGCCTTATTTTCCCATGGCTTTGTGACTCTCGGTCTTCTTGGGCAGCAGAACAGCCTGGATGTTGGGCAGGACACCTCCCTGGGCGATGGTGACTTTCCCCAGGAGTTTGTTGAGCTCCTCATCAATGCGGATGGCCAGCTGCAAGTGGCGTGGAACTCCTACAAGACAATGACTCAGCCCTACCCACCTTCTGGAGTAGATATAAATTTACTGCCTACCATTTTCTTCTCACCTTGACACAGAGAGTGTTCCATCTTTCTGTGTTTATACTTCTGAGGATGCCAGTCACAGTTACTGGCGAAACGTCAGGTTCTACAGTGCCAAGACCACGACACATCCTGGAAAATCTACAGCAACTAATGAACTCCGGCCGTGAAAGCCTTCGACAACATAATGCTGTCCTTATCTATTTAATGTGCATCTAATACAGTCTTGCATAGGCTGGATTAAACTATTCAGACTGGGTCCTTTGAAATGTTTAAACTCTTTTCCTGCCTTTGTAGGCTGAAAACTTGAGTGCTGGTTTTTCAAAAGCAGGGAGGGTATACATTGCCAAGGTAAGTGTGTGTGAGTATTTGCTAGATCACGGACTCTGTACAGTATTTATATTTGTGTGTATTGGGTGTTTATAGTTGGGAGTGCTTGGTATAAACATATGAAGCTACCTAATATTGAATGTCTGCAGAGCAATCTAGCCCAATATTTTGTACTCCCAACTAGTAGTAATTCTCCAATATATCAGGCAAAAGTATTTTCCAACCCCACAATGTAAGATCTGGGTTTAATTGGAGAAGTTAGAAATTGGATTTGGGACTTCTTGCTTGCAAATCATGTGCTGTGCCACAGAGTTATCATCCCTGTCCCCATCGTAGAAGATAACTGTCAAATGCAAATTGCTCAAACAAATGCTGGTGTGTTAGTTCAGAGCAACTTTGTAAGTATATAAACTGCTCTGACAGTACTATTGCCATCTTCCCCAGAAGAGCTATGGTTTGTTTACATGAGCTAATTTAAATGCCTGCAAATAAGCTTTGACCAAAGGTTACCGTGGGAAGGTGTATTGAACAACAAGAGGAGAGTACAAGGCCAAGCCAGTTTAAAACTGGTCAGGTAGCAAATTAAACTGCTAAATGGCTACAGGTTTTTTCTGTTAAAAACAGCAGTCCTAAATATTTTCTCCTGAAACAGTTTTGGTTTGTAAAGTTGTTTCCACTGGTATTTAAGATCACAGATGAAATTTAGGTTGAGGGCCATTTGTATTTTTAAGAACTGTTGTTATTTACAGCTGGCTTGCACAAAAGGCTTGGGAAGTATTCTTGTTTTCATAAACAGAGTAACAGTTTCCCAAGTGCTAAAATTCCTGTATGTACCATTCCCGTGACCTCCATTTGCAGACTGCATATGCTTAAAGCCAAGTGGTTTTTGCTACAGCAGCCTGAGGAGAGGCCAGAGTGTAGCTGAACTTGCTTCCTGTGAAACTGCTCTATTCCCAAAGTCCCAAAGAATTTAATTTGTTTTGTGAGTTGTGTGCAAGTTTAATATTCCATTCTTGCCCGGGAGTTCATTAAAATCTGAAACTAACTGACTGAATACTTGATGTTCTAGTAGAAGAAAGTTTAAGTCCTGTGGCACCTTTAAGACAAACAAAATTTTATTCAAGGTATAAGTTTTTGTGTGCAAACACACTTTTTCAGATACAGTGAAACAGAATTCCCTCAACCATTACATGGGGGGGGGGCGTTAGTTGCCAAGAAGGGCTAGTTAGAGTCAATATGCATAGGCACATTTCTAACCTAAAATGTCATAACTTCCTCTGCTGAAAATTTGAATGACTCCCAACCCATTCTCTAAATCTCAAGCTTTCCCAACAGTACATGGTATCTGTTCCTGTAGTTAACTGAACAGAGTATAAGGATATATTTAGGCTCATTAGAAATTATATTGAAACTTTTCCATATCAAAAATAAACTCTGCTAGATAGTTTGCATACAGAACTGCCAAGAAAGGATCTGAACTAAAATAGTGAACCCTTACATAGCTGAAATTAGGGTTGCCAGGTCCCCTCGTCACTCTGGCGGGGGGGATTTGGGGGGCGTTCCAGGGCTGGGCAGGGATGCCCCCAAGCAGTGTTCCCTCTACTCGTGCCTGATTTAAAGGGCTTCAGCTGATTGGCGGGGACCATGTGGCCTGCCAACCAGCTGGAGGGCCCTTTAAATCTAGCAGGAGGGAGGGAGAGGGGCAGTCACTGGCTGCATGCTCAGCTCGTAAAAAGACCCTTTAAAAGGTCCCTCCCTCCTGATAGATTTAAAGGGCTCTCCAGCTGGTTGGCAGGCCACATGATCCCTGATGATCTGCTAAAGCTAATTAAATCTGGTGAAAGGGGTGGCTGGGAGGGTGGTCACTCTTGGCAGTGGGGCTTCCCCTGCTGGCCAGCTGGTCGGGGCGGACTGGAGCCCCCAAAAGTAGGGGAACCCCTGCCGGGACCTGGGGGCTGGCAACCCTACTCAATATAGATGTCTGAAAGATAAAAAGAACTTTTCGTTGATGGAGTGTTAACTCGGTCACCATGACATTTCCACTATTTTCTTGTATTACTGTGGCCCCTTTTCTCTTACAGTGCTACAGGGAACTGGGGAATAGCTCTGCAGCTACTCACTGGTTGACTTTGGCTTCAGAGCTGCCTGTTATCTCAAAAGAGGTAGGATCTTTGGCAGATTATGTGGATACCTAATTGACTTAATGCTTTCAAATAATTATGTGCTGTGTTATAAATAACAGCATTTTCATGAAACAGTAGATCTGTGTTGGTTGCATCCAATGATCCACGGACTTGAGGACTTTGGTGCGTCTACATCTCCCCACCCCCCAGCAGTCTGTCCTAGCCTCTGGAAAGTTTGTTCTTGGGGCCAGACTAAATGTACACACAGGTCAGGATGCTGCACTGGGAAGGGGATGGAACCATCCCCCTTCTCCTTCTGGGAGCACTGATGGAGGAGAGAGGGCAGAGGGTGATTTCATCCTCTCCTTGCTGCCACCTCATCCTAACACGCTTGGAGGTGTCCTGGCAGGAGCTGCAGATCCTTTGAAGCTCTTCTAAACTCTTAGGTTCAGCTGGGCTAAGACTGTGTGTTTCCCCTTCCCATAATCCTGGGGCAATGGTGGCTCCTTGAAGGGAGCAATACAGCATCAAAAACATTGCTCTTTAAGGTTCAGTGTGCATTGCTGTGGTGATGGAGTGCTGCTGTTATCCTTGAGCAATGACATTTGCAGGGTTCAGTGTGCATTGCTGTGGTTGCTGTTATCCTTGAGCAATGACATTTGCAAAATCCACATAGACACCAGTGGCGCTTAAGTAAAGTTGGATGTGAAAATGTTAACTTATTTAAATTCAGCAGTCATTGAAAATATTTCATACACAATTAAATTGTATTCTGACAAGCATTTCAAATATTATTAAAAGAACACTGAAAGTTAACTACTCCAGTGTAAGAGTCTTGAGTGCAGCGCATGCTTATTAAACAAAGCACTGGAAAAATAAAAGTTTGTTTTTATTGTATGTCTACACTATATGTTTCATTCCCCCTCTTCTCTCCTACCCCTTTTGAATAAGAGGCCTAAGTGCATGTTAAACAGCTAATCAATTCCAAAAGTTAGGAAAAATAGCTCAGGAGCAATCTGCTTTTCTGCACTTCAGAATTTAAAGCCTGATCAGTTTCTCAGGCAGACAACTTTTGGATTCTCCCTGTGGCTCCTTCCTTTGTCTTCACTTATACAAGTGCTGCTGCCTATACCTCTCAGTGACTACTTCAGCATTCCCAAACCTATTTCTTCCTGTCTGGGCCTGATGCTAAAACTGTTCTCTCTGCCTTTGTCACTCCGTCTCTGGGATTTCTCTGGCTTCATCTTTTTGAGCCTTCCCTTGAATTGTTTTCCCCCTCGTTAGCAACTTAAGAAAGCATTTGTTAACCTGTATTTCCCCCTCCACACCCCTCCCCCAAGTTTTGTGTTGGCTCCTTGTTGCTTTGCTCCTACATTTTTAGGATCCTCCAGTCCTATTATCTGTCTGCTTTCATTTCTTTCCACACTAGCTCACGTGTGTTAAGTCCATTCCATATGCATTCTCCCATGCTTTAGCTGGAATTTCCACCCTCTAGTGTTTATGGTACTATACAGTTATCATTTTGAAACAAGCAAGGATTTTCAAACCATAAATCTTATGAATCTTGTTATAATAGAGCTATTCAGCTGCACTTTAACCTACAAATAAGCAGCAGTGACTCCCCTGTATCTGGTGTTATGCAGACCTGGCGTTGCTGCCACCTACAGAAAGTGATGTAGTACAGTACTAGCAACTTGCTGCTGCGTGCTAAACTCTAGGGACAGCAGATGTCAGGCAGAAGAATTACTGCTTTGAACAGGAAATACCAGCAATCAAGCAAAGTCTAGCTTTTGGGCAGCTCTGAAAAACTGAGTGGTTTGACTAGGAGGGAGAATTTTGCTAAAGTGTTTAAGGGGAGAAAACATATTTGTAGGAATCACATTTATAAGAATAAAGTAGAATTGGGGTTCAAGGTGAAGAATGAACTTCTAGTAGGGAAATTTGTATTAATTTGTATTTTATCGTATCGTATCGTATTGTATTGTAGTAGGGATATTTAAACTGAAGAATCTGCACTGAGATACATATAATGCTTGCTTCTGCAAGTGTGTGCCATCAAGGCGCTTCTGACTTAGGGATGACCCTATGAATTAATGACCTCCAACCATAGTATCATTAACAGTCTTGCTCAGGTCTTGCAAACTGAAGGTGGCAAAATCGCTTTTTTCATCATGCAGATAGAAGAAAGGGCAGAGGGAGCAGTTGCTGTTGGAATCGCTGCTAGCCACTATGAGAAGTAAAATACTTGAAAGGCTCCGGCTTGGATCCTATACCCAGGGCCGGCCCGAGGTTGTCCTGCGCTCTAGGCGAGCGCAGATGCCAACCTCCCGGCAGGGCCTGGAGACCTGGCTGGCTGGCAGGTGGGCTGTCCTCCCCCCCCCAGCTCAGCCTCACCCCGCTGGCCGCCAGCCTAGCCAAGGAGCAGGCAAGGCAGCCGCCCGGCCGCACCTCCCCCCCCCAACACCAGAAGCAGCAGCGGCGAGCCAGGGGGGGGAGGTGTTCCTTGCCTGGCCCCCTGCCCCCCCCAACCACGCATCCACGAGGAGCCAGGGCGAGAGCAGCAGAAGCCGGCGGAGGAAGCAGGTTTTGCTGCCGACGGTACTGCAGCCGCATCACTGGGGAGGGAAAGGGACAGGCGGCAGGAGGATGGAGGCGAAGAGCAGGCATTTCCAATGACGGGTGATTAATTCCAGCCAGCCTCGCTTTTGAGGCGGGGGGGGGGAGCAGCTGAGGCGGGAAAACTGCTGGTGCTG